TAGAATGGTACAGGAAACATAAGAGCTATCAACAACTCTGTTATTTCTATTTACCTAACCGTTATACCTTCCTAGGACAAATCCCTTTAGACACAGTGCTGGATCTAAAAGAAGCTTTCTTCTGCATCACAGTGCACTGGCTTCCCAGTTCCTTTTTGCCTTTGAGTGGCAAGACCCCTCCACCCAGGTTACTCAAACCTAACTTGGACTGTCTTCCCTCAGGGCTTTAGAGACAGTCCACATTCATTTGGACAGGCCCTAGCCAAGGACTTCTCCACTTTTCAGCTCTCCAGAAGCAGTATCTTACTTCAATATGCTGATGATTTACTTATCTACAGCCCTAATGAGAACACCTCTGACACAAATACCATCCTGGTGCTTCAGAGCTTCCCTTCTGGGGCTATAAGTTCTCCCCTTCAAAGGTTCAAATTTCCTCTCAGAAGGTTCAGTGCTTAGGATTAATATTAACTCCAGGGACTAAGAGCCTCTCTGACCACCATAAGGGTCTCATTTTAACATGAAAATTCCCTCTACAAAACAGTAGCTTCATTCCTTTTTTGTATCTCAGGGTTTTGTCGAATATGGATACCCCAATTTGGATTAATAACAAAACTTCTTTATGAGGCCCTGAAGGGATCTGAGGAGGAGTTTCTGGAGTGGGACCTTGAAATGAAAAAAGCTTTTGGAACTCTCCAACAGGCACTTACACGGGCCACACCAGTGTCCCTGCCCGACCTCCAGAAGTGTTTCTCCTTATATGTGCATGAGAGAAGGGGAGTGGCCCTTGAAGTCTTGGTCCAAATGCTTGATCCTTCCCAATGCCCATTCACACATCTGTCTAAGAATCTAGATCCTGTGGCACAGGGATGGCCTCCCGGCCTCTGAGCACTGGCATCCATGGCCCTACTGGTAGAAGAGGCCTCTAAATTAACCTTGGGATAAGGCATAACTGTTTATATACCCCAACTGGTATTGGACACCCCAAATTCTAGAGCATTTCATTGGATCTCCTAGGCCAGAATTACAAGATACCAAACCCTTTTATTAGAAACCCCAGAACACTGTCTGTCCCCGGACTTCTGCCCTCCTCCTCAGGAGCACTGCAGTGCCCACTGGGCTCCACATCGGCCAAGGTATAGACCTCTAAAACACCAGTTGTTGAGCCCCTCTGGTTGCACAAACTCACAAATGAGCCCCTGTCATTTTCCCAGTCATTGGCTTTGGGGAAGTGTTTTCCTTGCGTGATCCCCTGCACACTCCTTTCTCCCCACCCCCTCTCCCTCTCTCTCCTGTCTGTGACAAGGGCTCCCTCCCCTCCACAGCACCCACGATCCACTTCCCCAAGTCATGTCTCTGTACCTCCTACCTTCCATGATGTGGTCTCTTCTCTGCCTCTAACTGTGCAGTTTGTTGTGTCAGTCGTCAGATCAATTTCATGGGTATTCAGAATTATTTGATATTTATCCTGCTGTGTTTGAGGGTCCAGGCAAGCTTGGGGTCCTCCTACTCCTCCTCCATGTTTACTCCTCCTTCCAGACCCTCTTGCTTCTTTTCTGTTCTTTTCTTTAACTTTCTTATGGTGAGAACACTTTAGATATACCCTCCTGGCAAGTTTCATGTATACAATTTCTCTGCCTCCTTCCACGCAAGTTTCATCTTCAGGCTTCCTTCTCTGGTGTTGAAAACTGAATTATACTTGTCTCGGGCTTCATACCCTTACCTTATCATCAGGACAATAGAGAGCATCTCATTCCCCTGCCATCAACCACAAGGATCAGGCAGTGTGTCCACTCCAACAGGTTTCTGCAGTTAAATAACTGGAATGGTCACAGGTAAAACTGTTTCTCCTCAGGGGCTCAGAGACTTCAGAAAAGATCCAGAGGAGTGTGAATTCCCTTGGCCAGGTGACAAGACTTAACAAGAAGAGCATCAAACATATCAACTACTACAAACTTGTCAGGAAGCAAAAGAAAAACCTACAAATGTGGCATAAATTCAACACAGATTTTTATTGAGCACATATTTCATGCCGGTGAGTGTCCTTGTCAAGGATATACATATTAATAAGACATTGACTTTGCTCTTATGAATCCTAACAATTAGAAGGGACGAGGGACCTAACTGGAGGTAAGGAGGTGTGGGGAATGAGACATAGATTTACAAAAGTTCAGGAAAAGTGGTGGACATTCTCAACAGTAGACTGCTTCTACTTCTGAATGAGGGAGCATTCTCAGGAGGAAGTGCCATCTGATGCCTGATGACCCAAGCATGTGCTGGGACTTCATTTCATTCAAATATAAATATTGAGATATAAGTTCCAGAAGCAAGTCAGAACAACAAATCCCACTAAATTACACTAAGCTTATATTGACAACTGATCATTAGGCAGAACTGAAAGAAAAAGTTGCACACAGAGAGTGGCAAGCACATCACCGCTGAGCTACATTTAGGTAAGTCCTGGAGCCTGGGCTGCTGGGATCTCACTCCACAGGGAAGCCGGGGCACTGAGGTCTCCAGTGTGTTTTCCTGGGAGGAACAGAGGAGGAGGTCCCTCTGTAGTAGGAGGTGAGGACTGCAGGGAGGAAGGGCAATGGAAGCAGGAGGGCTGGGGACAGACTGAAAGGTAGGGGGCCACATGGGAAAGAGCAGGAAGGGGGTTCCAAGAGACTTACCAGTGCTTCCAGAGTCACAATGCCAGACCTGCCAGAAACACCAGGGTCACTGCAACTGCCAGGAAGACCAAACCCATGGAGTGGGGCTGCTCTGTGGGTTCGGTGCACAGAGGGTGTCATTTTCCATCCACCTCGGGTTGAACTGCAACACCCTGGTCCTCTTTGGTCCTGTCAACTTTTGCCTCACCAACTGCCATTCCTCTTCTGTCTTCCCTGATCCCTCCTCAGAGATGGGCCCTTCACCCAACTCTCCACATCCTCCCACATCTGCAGGACCTTCACCCTCAACTCTTGCATTTCTTGGATTACTGACTTTTTGGTCCTTTGTGGTCTGGAGTCCCTAGAATCCCCAATTTTTCATCTGGCTCTCCTGCTCTGTTAGAGGAATACCCACCCCCTTTCCCAGCTGGACCCCAGTCTTTCTCACCCCAGTAGAGGACCATGTCCTGGCCTCCTAGACTGCTGTGTCTCACTCAGCACAACAGGCCAGCTGCGTCCCTGGTTATTACACAAAAGGACATCTGAAGGTACCATGTCCCATCAGCATGGGGCAGGACGTTGCCTTGCTGGGTGCCCTGTTGCTCCTACTCACCCCACATCCACATCACCCACACAGGCTTTGGGTAGAAGCCAGAAACGTGGGTCACCAGCAGCAGATGGACAGAACCGGGACTGGGGCCAGTGGACAACCAGGCCTCTGGCCTCACTGCACAGACAGGACAGGAATTCACAGACTGAGAGGGTAGATATTCACATCACTTTAGATAGACATCTTTCCACCTCTAGAAACCTGTCCCCATCATCCTCTCTCCCTCTTGACTCCTTTTTACCCTGAATTTGAAAGAATGGTACAAATTTATGAGTGCAGAATAGAGAATTCTTGGAGGGAGCAGGACTGACCTTGTTGCTGGAGATATGCCTTCCCTGCATCAAGAAGACCCAACAGGAACCAGGGCAGGTGCCACTGAGGAGCGTGTATAGCATTTCATTGAAAACATGATACTGATTAAATAGTGTGAAGACCTGCTGAGCCCTACTTCCTCCCTTTGGAGATAGCCACCATGATGTGTTCTGGAAACTCATGAGATCTGATCCTTGATAAGCAATCTGTGCAAAGGCTTCTGATACTTTTCCAAAGTGGGAATCACAGCCTCCTGTGATCTGTACCTGGAAAGGATCTGGGGAAGAGAGACTGTGAGTAACAGTACAGGGGGAGAGAAAGAGATGAAATGAGATGGGTGGAAGCCATGATGGTGGAAGCAGAAGGAGAAGTTCAGGGGATTGGAGGGAATGGAGCACAGTTTGGTTTGAGGTTTGAGGGGGCGCTCACACAAAGCAGAAGTGGTGGTGGACAGAGGCAGAGGAAGAGGTGAATGATAAAGGAAGGAACACACATTGGAGGAGAGAGATGAAGGGTGTGGGCAGAGAATAGGGAAGGGCTCAGTGGGAGAGCTGAGGTAAAAATAATCTAGCTTCAAGGGAGTGCAGTGGGTACAGGGAACACATAGATAAAGTTCACTAATGGGACTTAATGAGGAGACAAGTACAGTTCAAGGAGTCTGTAACAGAGTGAGGGAGGAGAGGTTGCAGGCCAGGGAGAGGGGTGGTGTCAGGTGACACTAGTCAGGAACAGAAGAGCACAGCCTGTGGTCAAGAGAGGAGTGAAGTATCAGAAGACATGAAGCTTTTCAAGAATTGGGGTCTGGCTTCTACTCCCTGCCTAGATGAGTGTGATTCAGATTTATGATGGGGAGACATGAGGTTTAGAAGCCACTGGAGGCTCTTTCCCAGAGGAAGATGGAATTCAAGTAGACTCCTACATACACATACTCATACATACTTACACACATATTGAAATGCACACAAGCACATGTTCACACATCACACACAACAAAGACTGTCACAAACACATATGCACACACACACACACGCACACTCACACATGCACCCACTGGGTAGGGCCAGATCTCACCATCTTCACTGTCACCACCTGGGAGGAGAACCACCAGCAACACAAGTTGCAGGAACAGCATTATATTTGCAGATGTTCTTTCTTTGCTTACAAGTCAGCCTTTGGCATCTCTTCTAGCAAACCTACACCACACAGCACCTCTCTTCTGACTTCCTTCTCAACACACAAGCCTTCCCTGGGTCTCTGCAACAATGCAAATGTGCTCCTCCCTGAACCCTGGACACCTGCTCAGACTCTCACTTCCCCTCCTGGTCTGACTCTCCTTCTGGCTTCCAGCTTCTCCCTGTCACCAGCTTCCATCCTGCTCCACGTTCCCTAATTCAGAACAAGTCTTATATGGCATGAGAAATTGACCGCACCTCTCAGGCTTTTCCTTCTCCAGAGAGAAACCCATGTAAACACACAGCCCCCTGCACCCAGCACTGGACCCTGCCTTCACTCTGTCCCTCCTGCCCTTGTGACACCCCCCATGTATTTCCTTCCCCATCTCACCCCTACCCCAGCTCATTTACATTTCCAATTTCCTGCTGCTTATGTTAAAAAACAAAAAATCATCCAGGTAAATTTGAATATCCAGTTGTTTTTATTAAGTGATTCAAGAATGGGGTAGCACACATCTGGCTGGTAAAGGGGAACTCTGAAGAGATGTATAAACAGGAAGATTTTATAGGAAGACATTGCCATAAGAAGAAAAAGGAGTGTTTCAGGAAAGGTTACTTTCCCTTAATTGTGAGAGGAGAGGGTCTCACCATTCAGATGACCTCCCCTCCCTGGCGGATGGAGAGGACCCATATGACAGAATACCTCACTGGTGCTGACCAGAAAAATCTCACTGACAGGTGAACATTTCTAGGGGAAGTGGTAACTGTAGTTAGGTTAGGGATTAAACAAGGTTTGGGTACTTGATCTGGCCTGAGGTGCCATTTTGGGCCAATGGGTTTCTTTTTAACGGTTGCTCTATTTGCTTGTCCAAGTTCCCCCATGACTGCATGTGTAACAGTATCAGCAACCACCAGTTCACTATTATTCTTAGGGAGGAACCAGTAGCCATCACAGAGACCATGGGGCATTGAAACATCTGAAGTATACCCCCTCAGTCTGACTTGCATTAATATATACCCACTCACCAGTCACTTAGCACCGGCCTGGATCCAAGGACCTTGCTACACTCATGAAAATACTGTGTTTACAATGCAATCACTTTATACAAGGAGCTTTTATTCTACTTGGGAAGAAAAACACATAAACCAAGAACTATACATTTTGGTGTGCTGAGTTACTTTTTCTTTGTTTGGTTCCTTTATTTTAAGTTCTAGTATAGTTAACACACAGTGTTATATTAGTTTCACGGGTACAGTATAAGGATTCTACAATCCTATACATTACTCAGTGCTCATCAATATAAGTGTAATCCTAATCCCCTTCACCTATTTCCCCCATTCCCCCACCCATCTCCCCTCTGGGAACCAGCAGTGTGTTCTCTATAGATAAGATTCTGTTTTTTCCTTTGGCACTTTTTCTCTTTGCTCATTTTGTTTGTTTCTTAAATGCCACATATGAGTGAAATCATATGGTATTTGTCTTTCCCTGACTGATTATTTCACTTACCATCATATTCTAGCTCCATACATGTTGTTGCAAATGGCAAGATTTCAGTCATTATTATTCCTGATAAATATTTCACTGTGGGTACATACCACACCTTTTTTTTTTTTCTGTATTCCTCTATCTGTGGGCACTTGGGATGCTACTGTACATGGACTATTGTAAATAATGCTTCAGTAAACATTGGGGTGCATGTTTATTTTCATTTCACTGTTTTCACATTCCTTGGGTAAGTATCCAGTAGTAGAATTACTGGATCATATGGTAAATCTGTTTTTAATTTTTTGAGGAACCTCCATACTGTTTTCCACCATGGCTGCACCAGTTTGCATTCCCACCAAGTGTACAAGAGTTCCCTTTACTCCACTTCCTCTACAACACTTGTTTCTTGTGTGTTTTTGAATTTAGCCAATGGGACAGGTGTGAGGTGATACCTCATTGTGGTTTTGATTTGCATTTCCCTGATGATGAGTGATTGTTGAGCTTTTTTCCTGTCTGTTGGCCATCTGAATGTCTTCTTTAGAGAAATGTCTACTCATGTCTTCTACCCATTTTTAATTGGATTGTTTGTTCTTCTGGTGTTGAGTTGTCCAAGTTATTTATATATTTTGGAAACTAACTCTTTATCAGATGTTATTAGGAAATATCTAGTCACATTCAGTAGATTGTCCAACCATTTTGTTAACTATTTCCTTTGCTATGCAAAAGCTTTTTTTGAAGTCCCAATAGTTCATTTTGCTTTTGTTTCTCTTGCCTAGTGAGATGTGTCTAGCAAGAATTTGCAGTGGGCAAGGTCAAAGCAATTGCTGCCTGTGTTCTTCTCTAGAATTTTGGTGGATTTATGTCTCATGTTTATGTCTTTCATCATTTTGAGTTTATTTTTGTATATGTTGTAAGAAAATGGTCCAGTTTCATTCTTCTGCATGTGGCTGTCCAGTTTTCCCAACACCATTTGTTGAAGAGACTGTCCGTTTTCCAATGGATATTCTTTCCTGCATCAAAGATTAGTTGACCATAGAGTTGAGGGTCCATTTCTGGGTTATCTATTCTGTTCTATAGATCTATGTGTCTGTTTTAGTGCCAATACCAACTGTCTTGATGCTTACAGCTTTGTAATACAGCTTGAAGCCTGGAATTTTGATGCCACCAGCTTTGGATTTCTTTTTCAACATTCCTTTGGCCATTCAGGATCTTTTCTGGTTCCATATAAATTTTGGTATTTGTTCTAGCTTTGTGAATAATGTTGCTGAGATTTTGAGAGAGATTGCATTGTATGTGTAGATTGCTCAGGGCAGCATAAACATTTCAACAATATTGTTCTTCCAATCCATGAGCATGGAATGTTTTTCCATTTCTTTGTGTCTTCCTCAACTTCTTTCATAAGTCTTCTATACTCTTCAGAGTACAGATCCTTTACCCCTTTGTTTAGGTTTATTCCTAGAAATTGTAAATGAGATTGATTCCTTTCTCTTTCTTCTGCCTTATCATTTCCTTATAGAAATGCAACAGACTTCTGTGCATTGATTTTATATCCTGCCACTTTGCTGAATTCCTATATGAGTTCTGGCAATTTTTTTATTTTCATTTTTTCTTTTATTATGTTATGTTAATCACCATACATTACATCATTAGTTTCTGATGTAGTGTTCCATGATTCATTGTTTGCATATAAACCCAGTGCTCCATGCAGTACATGCCCTCTTTAATACCCATCACCAGGCTAGCCAATACCACCACACCCTCCCCTCTAGAACCCTCAGTTTGTTTCTCAGAGTCCATAGTCTAGCATGGTTCGTCTCCCCCTCTGATTCCCCCCTTTCATTTTTTCCTTACTGCTATCTTCTCTCTCTTTTTTTTTAACATATAATGTATTATTTGTTTCAGAGGTACAGATCTGTGATTCAACAATCTTACACAATTCACAGTGCTCACCATAGCACATACCCTCCCCAATGTCTATCACCCAGCCA